TTTTCTTGTAACTCTTCATTAAAAGATTTTTAAGCTTTTAAAATCTTATTTTAAGGTTACTTAGGGTATTAAATTGTTTTTTAAATTGTCAAAAAGTTAAAAATATTTATATTTAGTGATTAAAATGGTATAACAAACTAAAGAAAGAAAAATAAAACAAAGAAAGAAAATAAACAATATAAAATCAAAAAAAGAAAAAGAAAATATGAAAAAAACAACCAAACAAAAAAAACAACAACCTTGTAAAATATCTTTAAGAATATTTGGTAATTCTTCATCCAATAAAAATGCATTAGAATTATAAAAGGTGCTGAAAAAAAATTTATAACAGGTAAAAAATGCATTAAATACCCACGCAAAGATATATATATATATATATATATATATATATATATATATATATATATATATATATATATTTATAAATTTATATATATATATATATATATATATATATATATATATATATATATATATATATATATATATATATATATATATATATATATATATATATATATATATATATATATATATATACATACAAATATATACAGGGGCTATTCAAGAATAATAATTTGGATAGTGGTACCACCATGCCAATGAGTGCAATAAGGATATATTGATGGGGATTTTCCCAAATAAAGGCATTTTTTTGCAAAAAAAACAAACAAACAAAAAAAGCTCCATTGTTTTACAAAATTAGATTACAAAACCTTGTTTTTTATCACAAAAATTTAGTTCAAGAGACTTGGAAAATCTTCAACAAGGTCATTAAAAAAGTCAAGTCTGATATTTCATCTCTTATAAAATTGGTTTGATCTTATTCTTGCTTCAAAAAATACAGCAAAACTATTTGAAAAAAACTTTTTCTCGAAATTATCTTTTAAAAGAATCTAATGGCCATCTCATCTTGTCATCCCAAAGAAACAAGTTAATCCACTGTTAGACATCCAAATCACTCCTGCTTTTGTAGCAAAAGTGATTCTAGCCAAAGTAATAAAGTTGTCCGTGATGGACAACACACTCCTTTATTTCTGACATACCACAAAGTTTAATCTTTCTGGTAATCTTACCATAGGTGGATTTTTTGCACAACTTAACAAAAACCTTAACAAAAAGTTAACGCTGAATTATTATCAAAAATATAAATTCTTTTTTTTTTTGGGAAGAAATTGCACAACTATATATATATGTATGTATGTATGTATGTATGTATGTATGTATGTATGTATGTATGTATGTATGTATGTATGTATGTATGTATGTGTGTATGTATGTATGTATGTATGTATGTATGTATGAATGTATGTACATATATATATATATATATATATATATATATATATATATATATATATATATATATATATATATATATATATATATATATATATATATATATATATATATATATATATGTAGTAGAATACAATAATTTATAAAAAACAAATTTGACAAATGGAATATAATTTTTACTCTACAATTTATATAACTTTACATAAACTTAATTGTAAAATATTTTAATATATAATTTCTATCTTTAAAAGATAAAAAGTATTAAAAAAATGTTTTTTTAAAGTCTAAAAAAATTAATAATAAATAAGTCAATAAAATTCAAATAGAAAACCTTAAAAATTTATTTTCTGCAATAATTGCATTCAAGTAGCTTGTTATAATGCCATCGTTGAGGGCAAGACGTAGCCAAGCCTATAAAAATTAAAAATACTTAAAACAGTTTCTTCTTGTTGTAAACACATTTCTTCAAAATAAATAATAAAATTAATTTTAACTCAATAGAACATGATAACATGTTGACAAAAAAATAAGGGAAACTGTGCTTTAGCAACTTTTTACCAAAAAAAAAATTAAATATTGCTGCATTAAAACACTATTTTTTTAAATTACAATAAAAATTTTAAGTAGCTATATTTAAACTAAATTAAAAACATCAATTTATATAAATTAAATTAAAAAAACATAAATTTATATAAATCAAATTAAAAACATAAATTTATATAAATCAAATTAAAAATATAAATTTATATAAATTAAATTAAAAACATAAATTTATATAAATTAAATTAAAAAAACATAAATTTATATAAATCTTTTCTTATAGAGATTTAGCTTTGAATATCAGAAAACACAGAAAATTTGAATAACATCATCAAAACACAGAAAATGACAATTTACAGTTTATATTTTATTTTGATTTAAATTTTTTTTCTGATTCTGCAAAGAATTGAATTCGGAAAAATCATTCTATAATTTTTATATGCTATTTGCAAATAAAACTTCTTTTTTTTTTAACTTTTTCTCCTAATTTTAGTAACTAACTTTTTTCAAGTCATGTCCCATATATAGACGACACATTAATTTAAAATTAATTAATTAAAAACAATAAATTCTAGTTAAATTTTATGTAATAATACTTGAAATTTATGATCTTTTAAGATCTTACCTTAAAGTTTGCAAAAACAGCTTTTTTTAAAAGTTTAGGAACAAATGTTTAGTCAGCAATTCCATGTAAAGATAGAACTAAATATTTTGTCAATATCTGCCATGATATTTATAGCTTCAAATTAAAAAATAATTTAATAATTTGATGGTCATTTTTTATTTTTTAAAAGTTAGTTAATCATTCATAACTTTCTATTATAAAAAAATTGCAAAATTCATTTAGTATAAAAAATTGAAATTTCATAATTAACTTGTTAACTGCACTCTTTATACAATTACATTTGTTTCTCCAGTTTAAAAAACAGTTTTTTGTATCCAAAGGCTATTATAGGAAAATAATTTGGGCAACAGTACCCTTCTGCCATAATAAAACTTTCTGTTTTAAAATGCCCAAAAATAACAATTTCTTTATTCTAATTTGCTTTAAAATTATGAATATAGGTTTTGTGATCAAAATAAAATATTAGTTTTTTAATTTCAATCTTAAATTATTTAAAAACTTTGGCATATAAAATTTGCCGAATGGTCACACACGAGCAGTGAACGCCTGAGGGAAGAAATGAAGTACATTAGAATAAAGGAGAATTATTTATTAGACAAAGCATATTTTGACAGTTGTCAAGACAAAAATAAAGATTAATTAGAGGAATATTTAAAAATAAATAAGACAGGCTATATACCCACAACAATAATAACAATAAAAATAAATTTAAAAAAAAAAAAAAATTGTTTTATAAACACCAATATGAACATATATATATATTACCAGACAAAAACTTGTAAAACAAAAAACGGATCACAAAATAAAAATTCTGATAACAACAATGAGAGGCATTTAATAATGGAAAAAAAAACATTAATGCTAATGTGTAAACATAATTTGCGCAGTGATTAAGTAATAAACATCTCCTCAGAGTCGCGTCTATTATTACTGGCGTTTCGATGAGGATCAGCATTCATAACTGGTTTATCCCGACAGACAAACTTCATCGCCACTTATGTTTTACCCCGCGACTTACGCCTATTCCATACTGCAGTAAAAAAGGACTCATTATAAATAGCCAAAACCCAACCAACCCCAAATTTGTAAAGCACCAATATTTTTTAGATGATATGATATAAAAAGTGTAGATTTACTGAACAAACAAAAATAAAAATAAATAAATAAAAAACTTAGTATACTACCAAAAGAAAATATGAAAACAAAATAAATTAAAATTCTAATAGAAACATAAAAATTTTTTTTCATAAATTTATATTAAGAAATAAAACCAAATAGGTATAATTATCAGAAAGCAGTATACCTCATTAGAAAAACTTTTTATATCAACAAAACAACAATAGCCTTAAATAAACTCTAACGCTGTCATAGATACCTCATTCGAAATATGACAACCAATCAAAAGTGTAGGAAAATGAGCAGCCCGCGAAACCCATAATCATAACAATAATTGTAAAATATATGATAGCGAAAAAGAACGTTGCACAAAAACCTTAAAAATGTAAGCGGCATATATGTAAACATTTAATGAAGGATATAAAAATATTCTCTGAATAATAATAAAGATGAAAAATGTGCATGTGAAAATTAAAATAAAGCTGAGCAATGAATGCAACAAACAGTAATAATATGAAAATCAGGAGATAAATAATATATCAACAAACACTGCAACAAGACTAACTAATATTGCAATAAAACCAGATAATTTTAAGCCAAATGAGTGTTTAAAAAAAAAAATAGCCGTGGATAATATAACAATGATATAAGTCGTAAAAAAAATTATTAAAAAGTGAAGTCTTCTCTACGGTCCGAACTAAAAGAAACTTTAAGACCATATCTAAATCAAAATTTATTCAAAGTAATATTTCCTCTACGGTCCGAATTAAAAGTAATTTTGAGACCATATCTAAATCAAAATTTCTGAAAAGTAAAGTTTTCTCCACGGTCCGAATTAATGACCATAACAAAATAACAAGGAAAAACATACATCATAAAAACATGTTGAAAGCCGCTAGTTTATAAGAATCGCTCTTATATTTATATACACATAAATATATATATATATATATATATATATATATATATATATATATATATATATATATATATATATATATATGTATATATTTATATATATATATATATATATATATATACATATATATATATTTATATATATATATATATATATATACATATGAATCCTTAAATGAAAAACTCAATCACACATTATAAACACATATAGATAACATACAAATCTATATCAACATTTCAACCACATATTATCTATTAAAAGAAAATATTATTTAAATAAGGATGAGTTCAAACAAAAAAAGTTTATCTATGAAAGAACAAAAAGCATGCAAACTTGCTTTAAAATTATGAATATAGGTTTTATGATCAAAATAAAATATTAGTTTTTTAATTTCAATCATAAAATATGAAAGTTTTTTAAGATAGCGACTTTTTTAATTTCAATCATAAATTATGAACGTTTTTAAAGATAGCAACTTTTTTAAATTCAATTATAAATTATGAACGTTTTTTAAGATAGCGACTTTTTTAATTTCAATCATAAATTATGAAAGTTTTTTAAGATAGCGACTTTTTTAATTTCAATCATAAATTTTTAATTTCAATCATAAATTTTTAATTTTTTTTAAGATAGCAACTTTTTTAATTTCAATCATAAATTATGAACGTTTTTTAAGATAGCGACTTTTTTAATACAATCATAAATTATGAACGTTTTTTAAGATAGCGACTTTTTTAATTTCAATCATAAATTATGAAAGTTTTTTAAGATAGCGACTTTTTTAATTTCAATCATAAATTTTTAATTTCAATCATAAATTTTTAATTTTTTTTTAAGATAGCAACTTTTTTAATTTCAATCATAAATTATGAACGTTTTTTAAGATAGCGACTTTTTTAATTTCAATCATAAATTATGAACGTTTTTTAAGATAGCGACTTTTTTAATTTCAATCATAAATTATGAACGTTTTTTAAGATAGCGACTTTTTTAATTTCAATCATAAATTATGAACGTTTTTTAAGATAGCGACTTTTTTAATTTCAATCATAAATTATGAACGTTTTTTAAGATAGCGACTTTTTTAATTTCAATCATAAATTATGAACGTTTTTTAAGATAGCGACTTTTTTAATTTCAATCATAAATTTTTAATTTCAATCATAAATTTTTAATTTTTTTTAAGATAGCAACTTTTTTAATTTCAATCATAAATTATGAACGTTTTTTAAGATAGCGACTTTTTTAATTTCAATCATAAATTATGAACGTTTTTTAAGATAGCGACTTTTTTAATTTCAATCATAAATTATGAAAGTTTTTTAAGATAGCAACTTTTTTAATTTCAATCATAAATTATGAACGTTTTTAAAGATAGCAACTTCTTTAATTTCAATTATAAATTATAAACGTTTTTTAAGATAGCGACTTTTTTAATTTCAATCATAAATTATGAAAGTTTTTGAGATAGCGACTTTTTTAATTTCAATCATAAATTATGAAAGTTTTTTAAGATAGCGACTTTTTTAATTTCAATCATAAATTATGAACGTTTTTAAAGATAGCGACTTTTTTAATTTCAGTCATAAATTATGAACGTTTTTAAAGATAGCAACTTCTTTAATTTCAATTATAAATTATAAACATTTTTAAAGATAACGACTTTTTTAATTTCAATCATAAATTATGAACGTTTTTATAGATAGCAACTTCTTTAATTTCAATTATAAATTATAAACGTTTTTTAAGATAGCGACTTTTTTAATTTCAATCATAAATTATGAAAGTTTTTTAAGATAGCGATTTTTTTAATTTCAATCATAAATTATGAAAGTTTTTTAAGATAGTGACTTTTTTAATTTCAATCATAAATTATGAAAGTTTTTTAAGATAGCGACTTTTTTAATTTCAATCATAAATTATGAACGTTTTTTAAGATAGCGACTTTTTTAATTTCAATCATAAATTATGAACGTTTTTTAAGATAGCGACTTTTTTAATTTCAATCATAAATTATGAACGTTTTTTAAGATAGCGACTTTTTTAATTTCAATCATAAATTATGATTTTTTAAGACTTTTTTAATTTTAAAGATTTAAAGTTAGAACTAAGAAAAAATAAAATAAAAATAAAATAAAACGTCTGTTCAACCTTGTTCCTTTATACTTGAACCCTTTGAAACCCTATTAGAAGCAAATTAGGAAAATTGAC